AGGGGCGTGGGGGTAAAAAAATAAATATTAAAATTAGAAATATTTTTTAAAAACAATTTTTAATATTTTTTTGGGTGGATGGTCGTGGTGGTAGGGGGCTGGAGGTAGGGATGAAGGTGAGGTAAAGAAATTGAAGTCAAAATATTTTTAAAAAAACAAGCTTTAAATTTATGATTTTTTATGGGGGTGGTTGGGGGGCTGATTTGAGGGTAGAGACAAAATAAAATGATTTTTTCAACAAAAAAAAATTGTAATTTGAAGTTGGAAGAGAATTTTGGAAAATGTTTTTCTTAAATTTGAGGAAAATGAATTGATTTGAAAAACATTTTTCAAAACATTTAACCCAATCAAAATTAAAAAATTAAAAAATATTTTCTTTCGTACCAAACACACCCTAAATAGAAAAGTTTCTACGGTAAAATGTGTAGTTTGTATATCCAAAAAGTCCAATGGTTAATCTTGTGGTGTCGCTTTCGATTGTACGGTGAAAATAGTAGTCAACTCCTCGGTGGCGATGCAGCTCAACCCGGCGGGTCGTTTAACCAAAATAGGAAACCGGCGCTTTGGACAATATTACAATCTTTCTTCTAAATCCGGTTTCCGGTTCTCCTCTTCCAAAACAGTGATCTCTCCAAAATTTCCGCTGTTAATTTGTAACCGTCTAGAGAAAATTGGCAGTATCAATCTTCGGGTTTATGCCGAGACATTAAAACCCGTGTTCCTCTCGTTTTTGTCCAAAACTCAACAGTTTTTTGAGCGATCCACTGTTCGTGTAATAGAAAGGGAGAAAATGGAGGTCAATGGTTGTTTCAAGCGTAATCTTCTTCTGATGCTTACTGTATTTGGAGTAATGGCGATAGTGATAGGTCCAACTGAAGCCCTAGCTTCTAGTTCTCCTTCTGCTTTTGTCCAAAATGTCATCTACTCTAACAAGATCGCCATCTTTTCCAAATCCTATTGTCCGTAAGTATCTCTGTATGATCAAAACTAAGGATTGATTAGAAAATTGTGAACTTTCGCAGCATATTGCAAAGCTTGCTGAGGAAAGAGTTCATCTTTTCTTTGCTTTCTAGGGTTTCTGTTCTGCTTTGCTTGTTAACTGTACTGATTTTCTCTCTGCCGCGTTTTATCTTCTTTCATGTTAATTTTAGAAATATCACTAAGAGTTTTAGGGGTTAGTTTCTCTATTTCCAGCCTAATTTACTACATTTAGACTTTGGCCAATTTAGTCATTTACATGGGATCAGCTCATTGTAAGTTGTTAGTTATTTACAGGAGATTAGATGATTTTAATGAAACTTTTATGAGGATTGAAGGTTTAAACCCCTTGGTTGCATTTGAATTCACCGTGGCTTGCTTTCTACTTGAGGGTGACTGATAACATTGGTTTCATCTTGGTTCCAAGTAGGAGATATTATGTATGTTTCTATTTGTTGCCTAAAGAGGATGACTGATAACATTGCTTTCTTTATTTTAATTGATCAATTCCATATCGTTTCCACTATAATTTGGTATCACATCAAGTGTTTGTAGCTGTAGACAAATCTTCTAGAGATCAAGTTCTTTTTATTCCTCTTCATTATCGAAATTTGAAAATAATTGATATGCATATATGAAGATCACACACCACAATTAGAAGTTTACATCATTTTCCATCTGCGTTAGATAATAGTTATGAGTCCAAAGGGTCTTAAAACCAGACCTTTCATTTTGGCAAAGGAGGAAGCTATTGAGAAACCAACCTATGTAATAGCTGAGCATTTAATTTCTTATGTTCTCTGTGCTGCTTGGAATAAACATTATGTAAGGCTAAGATATAATATATATATATATCCATGAATAAGATTT